TGCCCTGCTTTCGCAGTTATGAGCCATGACCTGGACTACTCTTATTATATGTCTGTGACTGTGCAATTCTTTTGTGTTTATACCATGTTCCTTTATTGAAGGATGGGGACCGGGGTTCAGATATCGAAAAAAATCCCTTTACATCGAAAAATTTTACAGTTTGCACGCTTCCAATATTTTTCAAGAATTATTCAATTTTCTAGAAGCCGTGGGAAAGTAAGTATTAAAAAATCGTCATAGATATTATTGATGGATTAAAAGTTGTCAAATATTTTCTCTTGTGTACATTATGATTTTATAGGATCAGTGTTTCGAAAATGAAACTGCGGAAACCAGAAAAGCCGTCTATGGACCTGGTGCCCACTGGCACGACACCAACGTATGAAACCATGGCAACTGATCCTGTGTCAAAGGTCGGGGATAGTTCATATGAGAACCAATCAGTAGTGACGCAACACCAACATATCAATCAACTAACGGTGGAAGATGAATATGAGTATGCGCTTTCCAATTAGGATAATATCTTGTTCAAGAATTTATCAACGGTTGGGCCAATAGTTTATCATGTTATTATAGTATGTAAATACTTATAGGGTCGAATCGCTCTATACTCAATGTGGAAAGAAAAATATACAGCAATATCCTAAAAACTGAGATTTATTGATATGAGCATGCACTCTGTGTCTAAATTAATTTTAAAATAATTGTGCATATTTGTTTAAATTATGAATTAACTAGATATTGATGTATTTGATTTGTATTATGTAGATGTTACTGGGTGGATTCGCTCTCTACTACAAGTGTTAACTTTAGTGACGCAGCATGAAGTTCTCTATATTCAAATATCAACGAGCGATGGTTTAAATATCCACTCTCTGTCTAAATCACTTAAAATATAATTGTGCATATAAAAATCAATAGACTGTGTATTCATTTAAATGTTTTTATGTATGGTCCAATCGCTCTATACCAAAACTCAAACTGTAGTTACAAAATTCGAACTTGTCCATCTTCAAGTATCAGTGAGCGAAGAATAAGTGTATGCATGGACTCTCTGTCTAAAGTACTTAAAATAATAGTGCATATTGATTACAAAAAATTAGTTGCTAATACAAGCTATCTGGTTTTGGTATTAAATATGAAAAATTGTAAGGTACCAACCCATATGTTTTCTCTCTGTTCTCTTAAGTTTATTGTTATAGATATGTTATGAAGATTATAATTATTATGTAATTATGTAATTCATATATATGTACCTGTTTTGTTAAAGCGACCCCACAACAAGCCTCGTGCATTATAAGAATTTCGCCTCCTTCCTACATAGTAAATATATTTTGACGATATTATGTTCAGTTTGAACAAAATAAGGAAATTATATATATGAAGAGCTTAATTTCAAAAGGAGCTAAATCCACTTTTGATGATAATTGAGTTATTGATAAAAGAAAATTGTTCACTTAAGAACCTGTCTTTCAACAATATATATATATATATACCTGAATTTTGGGAGCAATTATGAACAAATGCACCTTCTATTATCACTTTTCCATAGACGCCTGTACAAAATCTGGTTTCTCTTTTTTCTCAGAAATTACTAAATTGGATTTAGCTCTTTTTGGAATTATACTCTTCATTTATGGAATTGAACTGAATATAAATGTAGTCATTTAGCATCAACTTCTAATATCTGAAGACGATTGATATGAATATGCAGCTTCTGTCTACAACACTTTCAACTGTTTTTACAATATTCTTGAAATAAAATGTACTGAAAATATTGCTGACCTGAAAATGAGTTATTTCATGTTGGGAGTGCGTCTTACCTACAACACTGAATACCCAGACAACTTTACCCACAACTCTAACATCTAGAAAACGTTCCTGAAACCCTGAAAACACTGACAAATCTACCTAAAACCTTACTTAATAATTAATCATTCCCTTTTTACTCTATACTACTACTATCCCCCTCCTTTCATCTCTCTGTCCCACCCTCTCTCTATATCCATCAACCCACTGAACGTTCTGTGTGTGTATTAGGTTTTACAGACGTGTATCAATCAGATCCGATTATTTACGTCTGGGGACCGACCTTTAAATGTCACCATCCGAAAGACGTGACTCAGTTTCGAACCTGCGTCCTCGGCTGAATCAGTTTGTAACTTCCACTTTTAGCTGGATTACAGGCGCACGCCACAACGCCTAGTTCTATCTATCTCATATCTAGCCTTTTGACAAGGCCTCGTGACTCTGGCTATTTTCCACCCCAATCAGCGACTGAGATGAGTCTACTCCCTACCCCCTAGGATAGTTTTCAGGGGGGTAGTTGTCGTAGGGGGTAGTTGTCTGGGGGTAGTTGTCCGGGCGTAGTTGTCCTGGGGGTAGTCGTCTGAGAGGGTGGTTGCCCTAGGGGGTAGTTGTCCTACGGGGTAGTTGACTAGGGGTGGTTATCCGGGGGTGGATGTCCAGGGGGTAGGTGTCCTAGAACCGGTTCATCTACCTATCTATCCATCTATCTATCCCTTTTCTCACGCCCTCTAATTTCTCTAATATGTTGTATTTTGTTTCATTTATCTTTTTTTCTCAGACTAATGCATGTGTTATTTCCTTCCTGTATATTATTATCCTTAGTTTAAATCAGTGAACCTACACGCAACAAGCCTAGCTTATATGTTTCTTTCCGTATTAAATGATTTACAGAACATTTTCCTACAATTTTTATCAGTCATTTTAGACAGGGAGATTACTTTCCTTGGTTTGGACGGTTAGTGGTCGCTTTTATTCCAAATCAGTGTTATCTTTAACAAACACTCGGAATGAAAAATCACCTTACAAATACTTTTGTTCCCAAGCAGTATAAATCATCAGCAAGATTTGTCGATGATCAGCTGATTGCTATTAAAATCAACCCCATTTCCTACGTCCTGGAAGCCCCCCATCCCCCCAAAAAATATAATAATAATAATAATAATAATCATGAACATATATGCAGTATGATTCGCTCAACAGAAGGCATGATAGGGATTGCCTTAAATACCTTTCTTAAATGTTTTGTTTTCTTGTTCAAAGTCACGGGTAGAAGCTTGCCTATAGTAGACACGTACGACTTGCATGTTGTTATGGTACTGATTTCACAACAAGACTGCATAACGTAGCCTACACACGATTAGCTAGCACGATTCAGCTTTACTTCCAATAATTCGTCCATAAATCAGTGACCCATATTCTACTGAAATTTGAACCCGACGCAGTATTATGCTTTTGTTCAAAATCAGGTTTAACAATAAAGTTAGTCTGGGGCCTCAGCTTTCATTTTGTGAAACGTGATTTATGCCCAGGGTTTTGTTTAATTTAAGTAATTTAATTAAATTTTAGTAAAATTCAAAACATTGTGAACATATTATTCAGAAAAGATTAAAATAACAATTCACATTACGAGTTCAAGATGCCATATATTTCTTGATACTGATTTTTCAGTTTTGGGTAAAACTAATTTGACAATGGTATACAAAATTTCAATATTTGGGACTTTCAAACGAATGCAAAGTGTTAAATACTTTACCAGAAAACAACTAACAGATCGAGAGAAGAAAAAAAAATTATATTCCCATATCAATTTTCTATTTACAGACGTTAAGAAAAATTATGTTCAGGTCCATTAGTCATGTAAAGTTATCGTGAGAACAAAACCCTGTCGCAGGTGTAATCAGCTGTTCCACCTTTAACTTCCTCATTACCGTAGCGTATGGAGAGTGATAGTTTGGACAAGTACACACTCAAGGGTCATGGAGCTCTAATAGTTCGCTCGCAGATATATACAAACTCTTTGGGAATTCCATTTCGGCTCTTCAGCATGACTTTGACCTCTGAACGAACACGATTTCCGTTGGCGTAACTATCTCGACTTTGAAAGCTATGCTTATTTCTCCTGTGTGCGTCACAGGGTTAATAACTGTTCTTACTTCAAGCCTTTGTCAAATATAGGTCCACAATGCTTACAAATAAACGTCAATGGCAAACAGTAGAAAACAATTTTGTTGTTGAAATGTTCATGTACAGTTTAGTCTCGCACAAGCGTACTCGCAGAACATTTGGCAAGGTTTAATCATACAAAATATGTATAGCGGCCATACCATTCACATATGCCATTGTATTGCATGGTATGATTTTGCGCTTTAGGGATTTCATCCATATTCGGATTGTACTGATAAGTCAAAGTCTGTTTTTTTTTAATCATTTGTGATGTTGTCATGGCGTCATTCATAATTATTTTCCTGTTATGTATACTGGCCACTCCAACTTCTTTTGGTGTCACTGAAAATCGTAAGTAACATTGCCATCATTTCAGATTATAATGTTGGTCTGCATAATGGTTTTATAAAGATCTTACAAACTTTCATTGTGCATAGAACAACGGGAGGAGTGTATGTACAATGACCCCATAATATTATTCGGCAACAATGGTGCATCATATCGTTACAAGACGTTTCTGTGGCGTGTTCATGATGGAGTAATTAGTAGGCGATTAACTGAAGCCACCAATCTCACACAGATCTCTTAAAAGATGATATAGACTATGTTGTAGAGGAAAGGATGACTAAATCCCGCAAACTTGATATGTCATTGACCTAAATACGTCTTGTTATCATGGAATTCTGAATAGGTCTATTCTTTTCCTGTGACGTCGGGTATTAAATATTTGTATGCCTATTTCCCAGCATATAGCCAATGCCGGCTAGAGGATACCTATAATATGCCGAAAAGACTTTGATAAAGAGAATCACTCGACCGTTTTTGTATGGGGATGAAGAACTGAATTATGGTTAGCTACATTGTAGTAAGCTACCCTTTTATTTAAATTTGACATTTGAATGCCTATTATGTTTATTCATCCCGATCATATTGAAATAAAAGTAATTATATTATATTGGTGTCAATCATATACAGTGCTATTTTCCTATGACTTCGGCACAAGTATAAGTGAGACGTTCTGTGGCATGATGCAAGGTGTAGACGATGACTTTGACTGGAAACTGGCCTCAACTTCTGGTACAGCAAACACTGGACCTTTACAGGATCACACAGGCAATACAGGAGCAGACGGTAATAGCGATGGTTCAAAACATTTGATTCATTGTTAAAGGGATAGTTGAGTTCTGTTGCAGAGGGCGCTACACAAAATATTTTTTTTTTGTGAGAGAATAAAATGAGAATAATAAAATAAAATAAAATGAGTGTCAAATTTGAAAGAACATAATATTTAAATGACAAAATCATCTTTGTATGATCAAAATCGGTTCTGAGACGGCTGAAATATAACGATTTCTAATACTTGTGAACCACCACAAATATTAGATATTTTGACAAATTTGAAAAAACCGTTGAAAAAAACAAAATGACGCCTTTTACATCGTATTTCAGCCAATGACAATGTTGGCTTTTTTGTTGGTATTTTCGTGTTGCTTCTATTACCCACAATCAGCCGGCTCATGTATTGTTATTTTTAATTAAATAATTAATTAACGGTCACCGTGTTTTTTTAAAAGTGGAGCTGCATTGGTATGATCGTATTGGCTAAATTACACACATTTTGGGGTCTAAAATTACCTTCGTGCTAATTTTAGGTTCTAAAAGGGCACTATAAATGTCATATAACAGAATAAGAGCATTAACCATGCACTTTGAAGGCATTTGCGGTCTGAAAACTGAACTCAACTATCCCTTTAAGTTAAATAATAACTTTTCTTTGGTGAATGGATTTCAAAAGCTCAGTATCGGCAAATTCAAAGTACTTGGTATTTATGTCTCATGCACGCTTACGTTAGGCTAGGTTACGGTAATATGACTAAACATTGGCATTAGACGTATCATTTTACTGTATTTGCCCTAGCAGGGCTTGCAAATCAACGATCATCATGTACACTATGAGGCATCTTCTGAGAAAGCAGATACAAGACCTTAACAGGGTCACCAGAGGCGGCGCTCCCGGGAGGGGGGGGGGGGGGGGGGGGGGGGGGGGGGGGGGGGGGAGGCACAGTGCCCTCCCACTTTTTCAAGTACCCCCAAAGTGCCCCCTTTTACACAACAAAAGTGCCTCTTTAACTTTGACAAGTGCCCCTATTAATTTGTAAAAGTTCCCCTTCCCCTTTTCAACTCTGATAATTCCCCCTTTTATTTTGACACGTACCCCTTGTCCTTCGACAAGTTCCCATTGTACTTTGCAATAAGTGTCCATTTTCTATTCTCATAAGTGCCTTTTTTAATCTCCAGTAAGTGCCCCTTTTCGGGTACGAGAAGCGCCCTTTCACCTCTGATAATTGCCCTATTCACATCTGAGAGGTGCCCCTTTTGCTTTGACAAGTGCCCCTTTTCCTTTGTAGAACTGCTCCATCCCCTTTTAATAACTACCCTTTTTTAACTCGGATAAGCGCATCTTATATTTTCACAAGATTGTGCCCTCTTTCCTTTCTAATAAGTGACCCTTTTCACCTCTTGTTAAAGACCCTATTCAGTTATGAGAGATAGTCGTTTTACTTTGACAAGTGTCACTTCTCCCCCTGATAAGTGCTCTTTGCATCTCTAATTAATGCCCCCTTTTATTTAAGACACGTCCCCCTTTTCCTCCCTAATGAATGCTCTTTTCTTCCTTCTCGTCAGTTTTCCTTCCCCTCCTCATAATTACCCCTTTTCATCTCCGTCAAGTGCCCCGTTAATTTTAACATGTGCCTCTTTTTCTTTCTAATAAGAGCCACTTCCCCCTTCTCAAAAAAGGCCCCGTTTACCTCCCATAAATGCCCCTATTAAAATCTGACCGGTGTCCCTTTTCTTTCAACAATTCCCTTTATTATTAGTGCCCCTTTTTCATTTTCATTAGTGCTTCTTTTGATATATGGTCAGTGCCCCTTTTCACTTCTTATAAATGCCCCTATCAAAATCTGATGGGTGCCTCTATTCCGTCGACACTGCCCATTTCCCATTCTCATAAGTGCCTTTTTCATCCCTGGTGAGTACCTCTTTGTTTTAGATGTAAAAAGTGCCCCATTTCCACCTCTGATAGTTAGCCTTTGTACTTTGACACGTGCTCCTTTTATTTTCTAATAGGTGTCTTATCCCTTTCGATAAGTGTCCCCTTTTCCTCTCATCATTAAACGTGCCTCTAATTTCAAGCGATTAAGAGCAATTCCCCCCCCCCCCAAAAAAAGAAGCTCGCTCACTATGCTCTCTCGCATTTATAGATGTTATAATTATGTTACTTCAAAAGTCTTTTCAGTCTTCCGTCATAAGAATGTGCTTATGAGCGCTATACAAGAACCCACTATTATTATTATTATTATTATTATTATCCCATCAGGATTGGGTTTTTACTGTCTCTAAGATGTAATTTTTCGCAATGAGACCTCACAACTCTTTATATTTTTCCTCGCTCGCTTTGCTCGCTCGCAAATGAGTTTTCAGACCATCTCATCCAACTTCAAAGTATGATGCGAAAGCAATATCTTATATGATGTATATAGAAAAACATATTATGAAATCATCTCTGATAATGATTGTCATCACAATATAGGGGTTTATACCAATGTTTAAACATTGTATATTTTCGCTTTGAGATTTCCCTTTGAAGGTGCCCTTTTTTTCCCAGAAAGTGCCCCTGTTTTGGTGCCCTCCCACTTTAAAAGTCGCTCCGCCGCCTCTGAGGGTCACACAGGCAATATAGGAGGGACTGGTATTATATTTCATTTTTCTCTTATGCCAGCCATCTCAAGTTATCTGTAGAGACCATAACAAAACATGTGGTAGAAAAGGACATTACAAAAAATACAAAATCCCCAAACTAAATATTGAGACCTTTCATACATGTATGTATATCAATCTAATCGCCCTCACACCTAACTAATTACACCTCAATCACACTACCAACGCGACTCCACACTTACTGTACATCAACTGATTCGGGGGGCATTCGCGGTATTGTATTGTTTTAGTTGGTCTGTCGTCGGTCTGGTGTCGTTTCGGCAGTATGAATGACGTATCTTCAGGAAGTATTTGTGTCATTTCTCAACGGCAGGAAGGTTCTTATGGGCAGACTCATATAATGGAGGTGGAGGTCAGAAGGCTGCCATAGCAACCCCTCCATTCAATCTGACAGGAGATGAAGGATGGCTAACATTCTGGTATCACTTATATGGGGTAAGTATACACGTATGAATAGAAATTATAACATCACCATGACCTCTGTCGTGACTATTATAGCCTCTCCTCCAATCAATTTCAATGAAATGATGTAGGCTTGCTATCCTTGTGAAAGCTTTACATACGACAACAGATAGCCATAATATTATTAATTGTCCTTTCTTAAAGATATTTAATATTTTGAAGTACATGACCAACCCCAAAACTATGATTCACAAAAGAGAGCTACACCATCCCTAAGATTGGATCCAAGGACACCTGCCTCCTGGACATCCACCCCGGATAACCACCCCTGTCAACTATCCCCTTGGATAACTACCCCCCTAGGACAACCACCCTCTAGGGCGACTACCCCCGGGATCATATGGAAACGTTTGCTTGTATGTGTCTCATAAAAGAAGTTGACCACAAACTGACTCCCACACGGTGTTGAGTGCTCAGGGGTCACAGGCCACTGGCTTCATCGGGCAGGTAGTTCCATTATGTGAATGGGTAAATTAACTATTACAAAATGAGGGGACACATTATATTGTACAATAGGGACACACGTTGCAGAACATACTCTTTTATTGACTTACTCACTACATGAAACTATAAAACTAAAATGCATTTTGTATTCTAACAATTGGAGTACAAATAATAATAACAGGTGAATGAAATGCATAAACACCACAAACACCTGGGGAGGAAGCATTCATAAATTTGAATACATATAGTTGATAAACGACTCCGATAAAACTATAAAACTAAAAAAAAAATTGCGTTCTGGCAATAGACCATTTTCGTAATGTAACCAAATTTAATGCACAAGTCTTTGTGAAGTGCCTCAATACAAATTATTTCATTCACCTGGTAAGAATAATAGTATTTCAATAGTCAGAATGCAAAATGCATATATCAAGTGTTGCTAGGTAGGTCAAGCCATAATGTTTGTCCAACCTGGCAACAACTAATGTATGCAGTTTGGATTCTGTCTATTGAAATACTATTATTCTTACCAGGTGGATGAAATACTTTTTATTGAGGCACTTCACAAAGACTTATGCATTAAATTTGGTTACATTACGAAAATAGCCTATTAGAGTAAGAATGATAGCAGGTGAATGAAATGCTTCAACAACACAAACACCTTGGAAGCTAGGAAGCATCCATAAATTTGAATAATTTAGTTGATAAACGACTCCGCATGTGGACGTTTGGTGGAGCAGAAAGCATTGGATTATTAACAACACGAACCCATTTTAAGACCGTCACCACTACTGGGCCAGAAGGGATTAGACCACACAGAGAGCCATCAAGGTCACTGTGACAGGTGGCTATCTCATTAACTCAGCTCTCATTTAACATAAGAAAAAGAGGATCATGGGGGACCAACAGGCACCGATTCGGGAAGTTTTCTATATAGAGGGAGCAAGTAGCTACGAGTATGGCAGTGTGCCTTTAACAGAATGTCGGAACGTAAATTAAATTTGGCGCGGTTGGAAAATGCATCTTTCTACCCTGCGACTTTAATGGTACGATCCAATAAATTAAAACAGTAAAATGGATCTTATTTTAAAATTGCTCATTAAATAAAACCCAAAACCTCAGTGATATCAGAAAAAATATGTTATATCTTACTAATAATATTAAAAAAGATGTATAAACATTGTGAAAGTGTCGCATTTTACGATAAAAAGACACCGATTTAGCGAAGATGACGTCATTAGTGCGCTTGCATCAGGGAATTCAAGGTCAAAAGGTCAATTCAGACGCTGATAAGTTAATGATCGAGCCTTTTTGTTTCCTTTATTCCGACAAAATTATACAATCAATCAAAACAAGTTTAATACCAGGAGAAAGCTAACGATTAGTATTTTCATTAACCGCTTGCCCCAAAGTCGCTTGACCACAGTGAAACGAGTGAGAGCTTGCGAGAGCGGCCAAAGTGTGATTGAAACTCGCTATTTGCTCTTCTCCAACGCAAAAAGACACGATATTGTGCTGGATAAATGTATTTTTCCGACAAAAGTACAGAAAAATTGCATATGGTCTTTTTATATTATAATTTATGAAATGTTACCCGAGTGAATTCCGGGTGCCCCAATGCTGGAAAGAAACGCACATTTTAGAAAACTTTACTTTTTCATGGAAAAATGCTTATTTGATCTATGCACACAAGTCAGATTTAGCGGATGATACAACGTTTCCATATGAGTACCCCCGGAGTATTCCCACCAGACAGCTATCCCCTAGGAAAACTACCCCCGGACAACTACCCCCGGACAACTACCCCATAGGACAAATAACATCGGACAATTACCCCCGGATAACTACCCCCAGACAACTACTCCCGACGACAACCATCCTCTAGGACCACTACCTCCCTGACAACTATCCTAAGGGTTAGTTGTTCGGGGGGTAGTTGTCCCGGAGGTAATCGTCCTAGATGGTGGTTGCCCTAGGCACATTTTTGTTTTAAGCCTGGAAATTTCAAAATTCGTTCAAATGAGGGGGGGGGGGGTTACTTTTTTTTGGTCACTATTTTGCACTTTTGTTTGTATTGTTTTGTTTAAATATTTATTTAAAAACAAAGTGAGGGGGGGGGGTTCAACCCCCCCCCCCCCCCCCCCCCCTCTGCGTGCGCGTCTAGGTATGCAATTGTGTGAAGGAGGGGACGGGTTGGTGCTTTGTGTCTCTTCCTACAATATGTGTTTTTGTTTGTAATTTTGAATTGTATATTGTGCTTGATATTGACCAAATTGCAATACTAATACACAATATTCTACTGTATAAAATCTAGGATGGAAAACTTGAGATCAGAGTGTGTCAGGATGGAGAGACAGTTCTCGCATTTGATGGAGATCAAGAAAACGAATGGCATGAACAGAACATGACTGTGTCATGTGGAGATAATCCAGTTCAGGTAATTTAAGCCGAGTGGGTCTAAAGATATCTTTTAATATTCGTAGCAACAGCAACAGCGACCACTATAATTTTGTTTACCAATCATGCCCATGAAAGCTTATTCATGAGGACCTACAAATATTATTAACCAAGCAATTGCCAGGTTGGAGGTGGAAGAGGGATTAGTATCTTGCCAAACGACAACAATTACCGGGCTTTTATTCAAACCCTAAATCAATTAAAAGAACGTCTATACACGGCAACTCCTATAATCACAAAAGAAAAAAAAAAGAAAAAGAAAAATCGATGAAGGAATAGTATGACTAATTGACGTGTAATAACAATTATAAAACAAGTAGCATCCGCTGTTTTTTTAAACAAATGTCGTAATTAAAAAGAGCATTTTTGCCAATGTCAAAAATGGGTCATGTTTTACATTGTTTAATCGCACTTATAATTTGGTAAGCTTTGGAAATCATTGTTGAATTTATTTTAATACAAGCAATATATACATTCATAGATTACTTTCACGTCAACTAGAAGTTCATCATTGAGTGATGTGGGTGGTGATGATCTCTTTCTCTACCACCGTTTACCGAGTGAGTATTCTAATTTAATAATTTTGACACATAATCAAGTGATTCTGAATAATCAAATATGATGATATTATAATGAAATTCATTTTTTTGTTATGGGTTTTGACATTCAAGTGGATTTAGCGCCATTTGAAATTGAGCTCTTTTTATATTTCGAATCAAAATAAATTGATGCAATTAAAGCAAATTAATAATAAAGAGGCAAGCCAACAACTTAAATGTACCGCTAGGAGATGTTTAAACATAAATATTTGGGGCTCACCCATATAGGCCTATACATTATTTGATATAATACGTAAATTAGGATAGCGTTTACCATATTTTAATCATCCTTATTTAGTGATTTTTTCCCCCACAGAGGCAACCACTGGATCATTATCAACACCACATTCGTCAAGTATGACAACGCCATCCTCTATTGATACAACACCACATATTGCTATGTCATCCTCTATCGTTACATCATCGCATATGGTTCCACCATTCCAGACGACAGTCCAAAGCCCATTACCCTATACTGAGAAGTACAGTGAATCTTACAAAGGTAATTGGAGGTATTCATATATAATTAATTTGATGCTGTGAAAGGGCACATGAAAATATTGTCTTTTGTGTAGTGCCTATTTCGTTGTGAAGCTTAAAAAAACCTGTTTATTACAACTACACCTGTAGCACTTATACTGTATTATGTTCATGGCATTGTGGACTTTTATTTAACCTTCGCAAATTCTATTCTCTCATTTCCTTTCGCATTACGTATACATATAGTAAAGCATTGTGTTACAAACTTTAAATTGTCTTTACACACATGATATGAACAGTTTAGGTGATTGATGTATTTCATTAATCTCTTTTAATTTTTATGTGTAGAGCTTGCTATTGGAGTCGGAGTCGTGGCATTGCTGCTGTTTGTGTTTGGAGTTGTGATTACCTTTCTGTACATCAAACTAAGGTATACATGCATCAGCTCTAAAATGTATAATATCTGTAATAAATATACCTACATGCTTTTATCATATATGTCTAATACTGTGATTGCGAAAATCATTAACGAATTGCTATATTTCGATCATATTAGCAATCGGACATTAGCAGTGACATCCACGTCGTTGATTAAATTAATTAAAGTTATACTGAATAGTTTGTTTGCATAACAACATCGATACCGTGGACAAATTATGTTCCAGTGGTTCCTTTTTTCATACATCCACTGGAGCCGGGGACTGGGGTCCAGATATAGAAAAAAGTCCTTCGAATATTTTACATATCACGTTAATAAAAATCTGCACCTTGCACTCCTGATATTCATAAAACGTTTTAAAACTTATATATGAATTTGTTTTAATCTTTTTGCAATGACGACCTTCGTCATTGCCTTGTTTTCGTTCACATTCTGCCCCATTAATATTCTCCTTTTCCTTTTCCTTATCCTTATCCTTATCGTCCGGAAATCGCATTCGTTTTGCACGTAGTGCTTGTGATTCCTAGTAAGGTGCTTTCCTCATGTCCTTTTCCTTTCAAATTTCATAGGCATAGTCTCTAACATCTCATCAAGGTCACTACATTCTTCGATTTTGGAAATCACTCATGCATGACCGTCCAGGTGCCATTTTGTCCGTTTCTGGTCCATTTTAAGGCCTTTATATCTTCCTTCCTATCTCCACTATCCTAGATCCTACAAACTTCTAACAAATTCCTCTAGATAGTCTGAGAGATGTTCTTTTATCTGCGACACATGACTTGACCTTCAAAATGCCATCTTCATACTCGAAATTCAAATCTAAAACCGACTCCGTCAAAAATCTCTCAAGTTCTTGAAAAATGGACCCCTAAATAATCTAAAACTGCCATAACTTTCTCATATAAATTCCATTTTGTATTTAAATCTCACAGTATCTTTATCTCATAATTGCACATAGCCATGCCAAATTTCACGCTCCAATGGCTTTGCACAACATAAATAGCGCCCTCTAAAGTTCTGGGAATTGGCTTTCTGTCTGTGGCCGTATCTCCATAATGTCTTGGCAAACCCGTACCCTTTTTTGGATTTAGATACTTGAAGATATGCCCTTTCCAGCCATATACAAAATTATATACCCTATCACTGACCAAATTTGAGAAAATTGCCCTCCAAATTCGCCATTTTCAAGAAAATTGAGAAATAACTTCAACTTGCTCTAAAATGGCGATCGTTATACCTACATCAATGAAACTTTGCAGACATATGTATCCATATACGTGACAACTGTCTGCCAAGTTTAATAAAATTCGAATATGTCAGCGCAAAGTTATCGCCAAAAATGATGAATTTACTATGGATTACGTAATAGCGCGTTCAATGCGCGTAATACATTGCGCGCAGTTAACAATGGTGTCAAACTGACCGCAATGAAGTGCCCTTTCGGATGATACCAAGTATTATATATGTTCACACAGAAAATTGTGAGTAAATCGCATTTGAACAAAGATCACTACACGAATTCCGCCGAGTTTCCGCCCGAACCTAACACGTTTCGGCTATGACGTCATTTTTTCAGACTGCTTTTCGCCCCTTAAACGTCTTTTTTTTTCCTTGAAAATTTGCAGTGACATGCCGAGTTCCAATACGCAGGGCACCTCTTGGCCGGATTTTTGAAATTGGTCAAGGGGGCCATTTAAGACGCCATTTTGTCCTATACATCTATTTTACATCACGTGTTTCGATAGGATTATCATAGAAAAAAAGAGAGTGGTTTACAATAACAACCATGAAATTCTCTTTCTAATGATACCAAATACGGCCCATAAAGAGACGTAAAGAGAGAGAGAAAAAACAATTTAACTCCGGCCATAATACAGATCCTGCACGTTTTCCGCCCATGCATTACACGCATTGTCTATGGGGCATATCGGGTTCACGCTTTTGGCCCCCAGAACGAACTTGATTGCAATGTCAAACATGCACCAAATCCCATTGGTTTGTGCACGCAGTGCTTGCGAGCCCTTTCTAGGTTCTTTCCCCTATCCCAATTTCTTTCAAACTTCGTAGGCATAGTACCATCCCATCAAGGTCACTGTTGATGCCTTTCTTTCGCCCTACCTATCTCCAATATCACAGAAGCTACAGACTTCGTGCAAATTGCTCTGGATAGTCCGAGAGAAGCTCTTTCGTTCGACACGTAGAAACACGGCGTCATTGCACGCACATCGTTCTGACACGATTGCATTTCTAGTTTGGATTTAGATACTTGAAGATATGCCCTTTCCAGCCATATACAAAATTATATACCCTATCACTGACAAAATTTGAGAAAATTGCCCTCCAAATTCGCCATTTTCAAGAAAATTCCGAAATAACTTCAACTTGCTCTAAAATGGCGATCTTTATACCTACATCCATGAAACTTAGCAGACATATGTATCCATATACGTGACAACTGTTTACTAAGTTTGGTAAAATTCGAATATGTCAGCGCAAAGTAATCGCCAAAAATGATGAATTTACTATGCATTACGTAATAGCGCGTTTAATGCGTGCAATACATTGCGCGCAAATAACAATGGTGTCAAACTGACCGCAATGAAGTGCCCTTTCGAATGATACCAAGTATGATATATGTTCATACAGAAAATTGTGAGTAAATCGCATTTTAACAAAGGTCACTACACGAATTCCGCCGAGTTTCCGCCCGAATATAACACGTATCGGCTATGACGTAATTTTTCAGACTGCTTTTCGCCCCTTAAACGTCCTTTTTTTTCCTTGAAAATTTGCAGTGACATGCCGAGTTCCAATACGCAGGGCACCTCTTGGCCGGATTTTTAAAATTGGTCAAGGGGGCCATTTAAGACGCCATTTTGTCCTATAAATCTATTTTACATCACGTGTTTCGATAGGATTATCATAGAAAAAAAGAGAGTGGTTTACGATAACAACCATGAAATTCTCTTTCTAATGATACCAAATACGGCCCATAAAAAGACATAAAGAGAGAGAAAAAAAACAATTTAACTCCGGTCGTATTACAGATCCTGTACGTTTTTCGCCCATGCATTACACGCATTGTCTATGGGGCATATCGGGTTCACGCTTTTGGCCCCCAGAACGATCTTGATTGCAATGACGAACATGCACCAAATCCCATTGGTTTTTGCACGCAGTGCTCGCGAGCCCTTTCTAGGTTCTTTCCCCTATCCCAATTTCTTTCAAACTTCGTAGGCATAGTCACTACCATCCCATCAAGGTCACTGTTGAGGCCTTTCTTTCGCACTATCTATCTCCAATATCACAGAAGCTACAGACTTCGTACAAATTGCTCTGGATAGTCCGAGAGAAGCTCTTTCGTTTGACTTATCGAAACATGGCGTCATTGCACGCACATCGTTGGGACACGATTGCATTTCTAGTATTCTCCTCCTTAGTGTTTTCCTTATCGTTATCGTCAGGAAATCGCATTCGTTTTGCACGTAGTGTTTGTGATTCCTAGTTAGGTGCTTTTCTCATGTCCTTTTCCTTTCACATTTCATAGGCATAGTCTCTAACATCTCATGAAGGTCACTACATTCTTCGATTTTCGAAATTACTCATGCATAACCGTCTAGGCGCCATTTTGTCCGTTTCTGGTCCATTTTAAGGCCTTTCTTTCTTCCTTCCCATCTCCACTATCCTAGATCCTACAAACTTCTAACAAATTCCTCTAGATAGTCTAAGAGATGTTCTTTCATCTGCGACGTATGATTTGACCTTCAAAATGCCATCTTCGTACTCGAAATTCAAATCGTAAACCGACTCCGTCAAAAAAATCTCAAGTTCTTGAAAAATGGACCCCTAAATAATCTAAAACTGCCATAACTTTCTCATATAAATTCCGTTTTGTATTTAAATCTTACAATATCTTTATCTCATAATTGCACATAGCCGTGCCAAATTTCACGCTCCATTGGCTTTGCACAACATAAATAGCGCCCTCTAAAGTTCTGGGAATGGGCTTTCTCTCTGTGGCCGTATCTCCATAATGGCTTGGCAAACCCGTACCCTTTTTTGGATTTAGATACTTGAAGATATGCCCTTTCCAGCCATATACAAAATTATAACCCTATCACTGACCAAATTTGAGAAAATTGCCCTCCAAATTCGCCATTTTCAAGAAAATTCCGAAATAACTTCAACTTGCTCTAAAATGGCGATCGTTATACCTACATCAATGAAACTTGGCAGACATATGTATCAATATACGTGACAACTGTTTACAAAGTTTGGTAAAATTCGAATATGTCAGCGCAAAGAAATCGCCAAAAATGATGAATTTACTATGCATTACATAATAGCG